CCAGCAGCGGGACGTCTTCTATGTAAAACCATTCCGAGGGCCAGTCTTCGGACGCCTTCTTTGGGGTTCCAGACAGATAGCCAGTCCCGGCGATGCGCCATACTTCGTCTCCACCCACTTGATACATAGACCCCTTCTTGGAACAAGGCACGAGGCAAAATAGCTCCCTCCACAGTCTGAAATGAGCTTCAACACCCAAGAACAGCTCGCAGAGGGCTACAAAGCCCGCGATATGCAATACTGAGGTGGGCGTGAGATGATGTAGCTGGAGGCCGTAGAACTCCAGCAGCCCCCGGAGAAATGGATGGATTGGAAATCCGTGCCACCTTATTAAATAAGGGACGAGGCACACCCGCTCTCCTTTGGAGGGATTAGGGGCGCTCTCCGCTTGCTCTCCGCCGTTGTAGACGGCAAGACCGGCTCGAACCGGGATCATATAGGCCGGGGGGGAGAAATCCCTTGGTCTGGAGCATCACTAACTCGCTATGCGGGGCGGAGCATCTTTCCAAATATCCAGGCTTAGGGCTGGAAGGGCGGGAGGAGGAGTCGCGACGGCTGGCCATGGTGGAATGGATCTTTGTCGAATGCACTCTGATGAACACTCGGGGAGGGGGAAGGTGTGGTTTGGATCTAAATCCTCGTCTCCTTAAATAGGTCAGCTTGTTTGCGCAGCTAGGGGTGTGAATGTAAAAACGCTCAGACCTTTTATATTCGTTTGACACGTGGGGAGCGGCCATTATTGGGCACAGAAGCCAAGGAGCGCAACATCTACAAGAAACCGGACTTTATTCAACAGGTACATGGAATTTGGAGGAGAACCCGCCTTGCAATGCCAAAGACAATCTGCGCGCCGGACTCATCGTCATTGAAGCCTGGTTCGGGGGCTACTTAGGGAGTCCTGGATTAGGGGGTGTCCGGATGGCCGGACTATACCTTCAGCCGGACTCCAGGATTATGAAGATACAAGATTGAAGACTCCGGCCCGTGTCCGGAAGGGACTTTCCTTGGCATGGAAGGCAAGCTTGGCGATACAAATATTTAGATCTCCTACCCTTGTAACCGACTCTATGTAACCCTAACCCTATCCGGTGTCTATATAAACCGGAGGGTTCTAGTCCGTAGGACAACATACACATCAACAATCATACCATAGGCTAGCTTGGGTTTAGCCTCCTCGATCTCGTGGTAGATCTACTCTTGTACTACCCATATCATCAATATTAATCAAGCAGGACGTAGGGTTTTACCTCCATCGAGAGGGCCCGAACCTGGGTAAAACTTCGTGCCCCTTGCCTCCTGTTACCATCCGGCCTAGACGCATAGTTCGGGACCCCCTACCCGAGATCTGCCGGTTTTGACACCGACAGGATCCATTCCTCATTCTGGGTGCCTATGGCCACGCTCAATTTTTTCGGAGCGGCCTCTGTTTGGTTACAGTCCATTCAGAATCGCCTCTCTAAATTCGATTGGGAGGCATTTGGAGCTCTTCTATGCACTCGCTTTGGTCGTGATAAACACCAACTCCTAATTCGTCAGTTTTACACTGTTCGTCAAACGTCCACCGTGGCTGAATACATTGAGCGATTTGAATTAATTGTTAATCATTTAGCTTCATATTCAGAAACCATTCATCCTTACTTTTACCTGACTCGTTTTGTCGAGGGCTTGAGGGCGGACATTAGAGCAGTGGTGTTGATCTAGTGGCCATCGGACTTGGATACAACCTGCTAACTGGCTCTGTTACAAGAAGAAGTCATGGACTCGGCGCATCCAGCGCATCCACCGCGGGGCGCGCCGCGTGGCGCTGATGTTCCTCCACGACCCAGCTCGCCGCTGCCATTACCTCTTCCACCGCGACCGCCACCTGCACCGACTTCGACGCCTACAACGGATCACAGAGGGGTGGAAGGCGCGCACGCTGACAATTCCAAGGTCAAGGCGCTTCGTGAATATCGCCGTGCTCGCGGACTCTGCTTCAAGTTCGGAGAGCGGTGGGGGCACGATCACACGTGCCCCACTACGGTGCAGCTCCACGTGGTGGAGGAACTCTTGGAGCTCTTCGGCATCAATGTTGTTCCAGACAATGAGCAGCCGGAGGTCGCAATGGCCATTTCCAAGCATGCCCTCACTGGAGATAAGTCACCCAAGGCGTTTCAGCTACATGTGTGGCTCCAAGGTCATGAGATTCTCATCCTGGTGGACTCGGGCAGCTCTACCTCATTTGTGGATGCCGCCCTAGCCACCCAATTGTCAGGCGATACTCCTTTAGCTCGTGTTGGGCGTGTCAAGGTTGCCGGTGAGGGCGAATTGCAGTGTCAGGCAGCCATTCCTAAATGCAAATGGTCATCACAAGGCCATGAATTCACCACAGACTTCAAGGTATTGTCTCTGGGCATGTACGATGCAATTCTGGGAATGGATTGGCTCGAAGAGCATAGTCCAATGACAGTGGATTGGAAAGGGAAACACATTGCTATTCCTGATGCAGCCGGGACTGTTCACCTTCATGGACACCCATCAACTGCTTCGTGTGAAGTGATCAACAACATGCAGCTCAACAACTTGTGTCGTCAGGGCGCTGTCTCGCATATGGTGCAGCTGTATCACGTCACTCTGGGTTCTGGCGAGGAACAATAAGCTACACCTGAATGTATCCAAGCTGTCCTGAACCAGTACCCTGAAGTTTTTGAAGAACCTACTGGTCTGCCACCCAAACGCAGCTGTGATCACCACATCCTCTGATTCCGGGTGCACAACCAGTCAATATTTGACCATACCGTCACAAACTAGAGCACAAGACCGAAATTGAAGAATAGGTAGCTGAGCTGCTCAAACAAGGCGTTATCAGGAAGAGCACAAGCCCGTTTGCATCCCCAGTGATACTAGTAAAGAAAAAAGATGGTACTTGGCGTTTGTGTATCGACTACCGTCATCTGAATGCCATGACTTCCATTGCCAAATTCCCAATTCCAGTGATTGAAGAACTACTCGATGAACTCCACGGAGCTGTCTGGTTTTCCAAGCTTGATCTCCGAGCCGGATACCACCAAATTCGCATTGCAGAAAGAGACGAATTCAAGACAGCTTTTCAAACACATTATGGGCTTTTTGAATTCTTGGTGCTCTCTTACGGCCTGGCTGGTGGTCCAACCATGTTCAACAATGCAGTGACGGGCACCCTCCAACCCCTCCTGCGCAAGTGTGTTCTATTGTTCTTCGATGATATCCTCGTCTTCAGCCGCACGCTCGAAGACCACACAGCACACCTTGCGCAAGTTCTTCAGCTGCTAAAAAGGGACCAATGGAAGGTCAAAGCATCGAAATGTTGTTTTGGTCAGAAGAAGTTGTCGTACTTGGGACATGTTATCAGTGCTGACGGAGTAGCGACAGAACCCAGCAAGATTCAGATCCTCTCTGACTGGCCTACACCAACAGACATTAAAGAAGTGTGCCGCTTCCTCGGACTCGCGGGCTACTACCGCCGGTTCGTGCGTCACTTTGGAATCATGGCTCGGCCTCTATTCAACTTACTGAAAAAGGGGACCCCATTTGTGTGGACACAAACGACCGAAGAAGCATTCCAGCTGCTTAAACAGGGACTCATCACAGCACCGGTGCTTGCCCTCACGGATTTCTCGAAACCATTTGTGGTTGAGACTGACGCATGTGATGCGGGTGTGGGAGCAATCCTCCAACAGCAAGGACACCCCATTGCGTACATGAGCAAGGCGCTCTGCCCCCGGTTCAGAGGTTTGTCAACTTACGAGAAGGAGTATCTCGCTGTTGTGGTAGCTGTTAACCAATGGCGTCCCTATCTGCAACACAGTGAATTTGTGATTCAAACTGATCAGAAAAGCCTTGTGCACCTTGAAGAACAACGAATCACGACCCCGTGGCAGCAGAAAGCGTTCAATAAGCTGTTGGGGCTACGCTATACAATCAGGTACAAAAAGGGAGTAGACAATGGAGCAGCAGATGCCCTCTCTCGAGCCACTCACTCTGAGCAGCTACAGACACTCTCTACATGCCAACCAAGCTGGATGGAAGATGTGATTAATAGTTACAATGCTAATCCCCAAGCACAAAAGCTGCTGGAACAACTGGCCATCCGAGCTGACCCCAAAGGCCGTTTCACCTTGGAGCAAGGCATTCTGAGATTCAGAGGAAGAATTTGGCTTGGGGGTTCTACGTCAATACAACAACAAGTGATTGTTGCCTTCCATGACACGCCTATCGATGGTCACTCCGGATTCCCGGTCACTTGGCGGCGTGTGCGCCAGCTGTTTGCGTGGCCTAAAATGAAGACACATATTCAGCATTATGTCAGATGTTGCAACACCTGTCAGCAAGCTAAACCTGATCGAGCAGCTTACCCTGGATTGCTAGAACCTCTTCCAGTTTCAAAAGAATCTTGGGAAATGATCAGTATGGACTTCATCGACGGGCTGCCTCAATCACGAAGTGTCAACTGCATTCTGGTCATTGTGGACAAACTGACAAAATTTGCTCATTTTCTGCCTCTGGCACATCCCTACACAGCTTCAAAAGTGGCTCTGCTGTATATGAATCAGGTCTACCGACTCCACGGATTCCCTGGTCCAATCATCTTTGATCGCGACCCGGTTTTTACTAGCCACTTCTGGCAGGAATTGTTCAAGTATGCTGGCACAGGGCTCCGCATGAGCTCAGCCAATCACCCGCAGACGGATGGCCAAACTGAACGTGTCAACCAGTGCCTGGAAACCTTTCTTCGATGCTTCACACACGCCTGTCCTTGACGCTGGAGCTTTTGGATCCCACTAGCTCAATTTTGGTACAATTCGTCATATCATTCAGCTATTGGTATGTCACCCTTCAGAGCTATGTATGGGCATGAACCACGCCAATAGGGCATTACTGCAACCAATGCCTGCTCGGTTCCAGCCTTGCGTTCGTGGCTTGATGAACGTGCAGTAGTTCAGGAGCTACTGCAACAGCACCTCCACCGTGCTCAACAATGCATGAAGCAGCAAGCAGATAAGAAGCGGTCAGTCCGAACCTTCTCTGTGGGTGATCATGTCTACCTGAAGTTGCAGCCTTATGTTCAAACATCAGTGGTTGCACGCGCCTGTCACAAACTGGCTTTCCAATTCTTCGAACCCTACAAAATCATCAACTGCATCAACCCTGTGGCATATAAACTTCAGCTGCCGGAGCGCTCACAAGTGCACCCTGTGTTCCACATTTCCCAATTGCGCAAGGCTCTCCTCCTAGGTACATCAGCATCTCAAGATCTACCTGTGCACTCTACCATTCCTGCCGTGCATGCAGCGATTATTGATCAGCGTTGGCGCAAGCGTCGTGGTGCCATGGTGGAGCAAGTCCTCATACGCTGGTCCAACCCAACAGCCGTCGCTGACTCATGGGAGGATCGTGTGGCGCTCCAAGCTCGCTTCCCATCTGCAGAGGCTTGGGGTCAAGCCTCAGCTCAAGAAAGGGGGGATGTCGGCGCCCCTGGCAACGGGACCCCTCCTGTCAGCTCGCCCGCGCCTCCAAGGCTGACACGTCCTCGCAAGCCCTGCCCAAGAGTCAGTGGGCCTAAGTGGGTGTGACCAGGCCCAGCCCTTATGTGCTCATACTTATAACGATGAGGCAGAATAGAAGGGCATCCAGTGGATCACGAAACCTGGCGGCGGCGGCTCTCCTACATGTTCCCCTTTCCTCTTGTATGAACCCTAGCTCGATGGAAATTGCTTGTAATCACCACTACTCTGTACTCTGAGAGATTGCTACCAGTTCAATATATTGATCCCTATCCTTGCTCCTAACACTATGCAACCAGCCAGCCACATGGCCAGGCCAACAAACGCGGCGACGGATGGAGCTGTTCGAGAGGAAACACATGAGGCAATTCTCGTGCCCCTGACCAACGCAGGTGGAAAAACTATTTTTTTCTTATAATCTCGGAGGTGGAAAAAGTAACAGGAGTATCTCCGCGCATCGCGTTGTGTTGACTACCACCTAGGCTTTGCCTACTTTGGGGGTGTTTGGTTCAGGAACTTTTTAGTTCCAGAGACTAGAAAAAGTCCCTAAAAAGTCCCTAAAAACCAAACAGGAGGGACTTTTTCTACAAGGACTATAAAAAGACTCTACTAGAGAGTCTTTTTTATTAGTCCCTGGGACTAGAAAAGGTCCTAGGACTTCTCAACCAAACACCACCTTTGTCAGACCACTAGTGCAGCCGAGTCTGAAAGAAACGGCACTCAAGACTTGTTGGTTTATTGATGGATTGAAAACCCTGTCGGCAGGCAGACTTGTTGTAGCTCTAATCGCACTTGCGAGACATTCAAAGGTTCATTTCCCCCGACAGGGACTCTACATTCAGCTATGACAAGCTTGCCCTCACAACTCCCTCGCTCACACGGCTAAAAAAAAAACTCCCTCTCTCACCAGTCGTTTACATATCGCATTTTTTTCTGCTGGTACTCTGAAAAATCTTTTGGTCCACGGAGAAAAAAACAGAATGTTTTATTTGATATTTAATAAAAAACTGTGAAACGCAAAAAATGTTCACGGGTCTGAGAAAAGCTTACGAATTAGAAAAATATTTGTGATTTTTTTCAAAGATATCATGAAAAAGAAATAAAATCACGTATTTGAAAAAAGTTTGTGAGTATCAGAAAATTCACGAATTTCAAGATTTGTTCCCTCATTTGAAAATGTTCACAAATTTGAATTTTTTTTCATGAACTTGACCGTTAATTTTATTTAAAAAGTTAATAAATTGGGAAAACATCATGAATTTGAAAAAAGTTCAAGAACTTAAAAATATTAATGAATTTGAAAAGTTCACCAAATTGAATTTTTTAACAAATTTTTAAAAAGTTCATAGAATTGAAAAAATCACGAACTTGGAAATAGAAAATAATGGAAAAAGAAATGAAAAGTAAAAGACGAAGGAAAAAAGAGAAAGGTAAAAAAACGAAGAAAAAAACAAAGAACCCAAAGCCTAAAAGACGCACCAAGAAAAACCGGGCGAACCTCTATAAGGTTCTAAAAAACTGGTGGGGGCGATAATGGTCTGGCAACCTACATATAGTACTCCCTCCATTCCAAATTACTTGTCGCAGGTATAAATATATCTAGATGTATTTTAGTTCTAGATACACTTATTTCTGTGACGAGTAATTTGGAATGGAGGGAGTACATCCTAACGAACTAGGGGATGTGTACTGAGTTGCGAAAACAGTTACATCTGGTGCTTAAGATACCAAAATAGATATCTGACTATGTCTCGCTTATAGCGAAGGCGGGAGCCCACAGGACACTATCTTTTTTATCTTCTGTTCGTTCATGTTTTTTCGTTTTTTCTTTCTTTTATTATTTTTGCTTACAATTACAAATATTCTAAACATATATATATTACAAAAAGCTTTACATGAAACATTTTAAAAACTATTAACCAAGCATTTGGAAAATGTTAAACGTGTATTGATAAAATGTTTCTCATGTATACAAACAATCTATACAAAAAATATATAATGTGTATGAAAAAGTTGACCATTTTTAAAAAATGTTAATAAAGCATTTGAATTTATTTAATCAGGTATTTGAAAAATGTTAATCAAACATTTAAATAATATTAAATTTATATAGATTTTTTTGTCGTGAACATGAAAAAAATACAATGTGCATGAAAAAAATGTCAACCATGTATTTATAAAATATTAAACGTGTATACAAAATGGTTCCTGGTATATACAAAAAACATAACATATATTAAATAAAAGTAGACATAAAGATATATTTTTTAAAATATTTTTGTACTTAAAAATGTTAAACATGTCTATAAGAACATCCGGCTGGGTGACTTTTTTTGTCCGGGTAGGCAGTTCAGACATTTGGGGGGTTATGGGGCGTCCGGTTGTAGATGACTAGATGCTATAAGATATCTCTAACCTATCCCCTGTAATTTAGAGGAGGATATGCTCCTCTAAAAAGTGTTGTTTCTAACCGATCCACTAAATTTAACTCTTTATTTTTGACAGATTCGATTAATTTTGGGCCATCGAGTGAAACTTCACTACTCGATTATTTTATTAAATGACATCTTGGTTACATACGTCACGAGTTCTTCGTTAAGAGAACCGATTCAAGAAAAGCTATAAGAAAATTTACACATTTCAATAGAAACACCACTTCGAACCGATTCAAGAAAAACTATAAGAAAATTTACACATTTCAATAGAAACACCACTTCGCCAATTGCGTCTGCTAGTCCAATCATAGCTTTCTCCATATCTTCATTGTTTACATTGTTGATATTCTCTATTGGCTTCTCAAGCTTGCACACTTCTTTATTCTCCACCTCCTCAAATTTGGACATTGCATCCTTTCTAGTCTCAGACTTCGACATTGCGTCCTCTCTAGTCCCATTTCTAGCAACTAGTGCACTAACATCTACTTCCTCCGTCCGGGTTTATTAGGCCTAAAGACAACTTCTCTTAGACCAAGACACATAGTAATTTGCTCACATTAATTCTTCCATTCCACTCTCAATGAACTCTCTCACATGCATGCAACCAATGAAAAAGCACGCATGAAGTGTATTAATTTTTCAGCCATGGCACCAACAACAATAGCTTTCAATGCAACCAATGAAATGACTGCATGCATGCACCTTTCCAACGCGAGGCCTTATAAAAGGGGACATGCTTATGATGCTGAGAGGCCTAATAAATCCGGACGGAGGGAGTAGGAAATTGGAGATGACACCCATGCACAACGGGAATTGTGAAAGGATCGTTATGGTTGACTAGAGGGGGGTGAATAGGCAACTACCAATTTTTAGCTTTTCTTTACCAAATTAAACTTTGCATCAAAGTAGGTTGTCTAGATGTGCAACTAGGTGAGCAACCTATATGATGCAATAACAACAAGCATACAAGCAAGCAAGGGTAGAAACAATAAAGAGCTTGCACAAGTAAAGGTAAGAGATAACCAAGAGTGGATCCGGTGGAGACGAGGATGTGTTACCGAAGTTCCTTCCTTTTGAGGGGAAGTACGTCTCCGTTGGAGCGGTGTGGAGGCACAATGCTCCCCAAGAAGCCACTAGGGCCACCGTATTCTCCTCACGCCCTCACACAATGCGAGATGCCGTGATTCCACTATTGGTGCCCTTGAAGGTGGCGACCGAACCTTTACAAACAAGGTTGGGGCAATCTCCACAACTTAATCGGAGGCTCCCAACAAGACCACGAAGCTTCACCACAATGGAATATGGCTCCAAGGTGACCTCAACCGTATAGGGTGCTCAAACACCCAAGAGTAACAAGATCCGCTAGGGATGAGTGGGGGAATCGAAAATCCCTTGGTGGAAGTGTAGATCGGGGCCTTCTCAACCACTCCCGAGCAAATTAACAAATTTGATTGGCTAGAGAGATAGATCGGGCGGAAATGAAGCTTGGAGTATTTAATGGAGCTTGAGCAATAAATGGAGCTTGGGGGAGGAAGAGGTAGGTGAAAAGGAGGAAAGGGACTCCCTTTTATAGTGGGGGCAACAATCCCGTTGCCCCCCCCACCAACCAGCCCCGCACAGGGCGGTACTACCGCTGAGAGGGGGCAGTACTACCGCCAGGCGACGGTACTGCCGCGCCAACCAGCGGTACTGCCGCGCTGAGGAGACTTAGTAGGGAATGGACCCAAATGCGGTACTACCGCGGTGGTAGGGCGGTACTACCGCTCCTGGAACGGTACTACCGCCACTACAACCGTGACTAGTGCCGCAAAACCCGACACGAGAAAAAGACCTCTCGAATCGAGGCGGTAGGAGTCAGACTACCCAGCGGTACTACGACAGAGGGGTCAAGGGCGGTAGTACCGCTGTGGAGCGGTACTGCCGCTTGTGACCCTTCGGCCGTAGTACCGTAGGCAGTGCGGTACTACCGCTGGGGCGCGAGAGAGAGGGAGAAGGGATCTCTCAAGGAAGCTGAGGACCAGGCGGAGGTGCCAGGCCCCCAGCGGTACTACTGCTGTGGAGCCACGGCGGTACTACCGCTGCAAAGCGGTACTGCCGCTTGTGGCTTCTCAGCGGTACTACCGCTGGGTGCGCGGTACTGCCGCTTAGACCTAGACAGAACAAGGAAGAGAGGAGAGATCTCTTCAATGGACAGGAAAAGCTCGGAGGGTGAGAAGCTGATGTGTACGTGATGATTCCACCCAAGCAAAACCCCAGCGGACCCCCTCTTGATAGTACGGTGCCCTCTACGCAACTAGTCCACCGAGAAAGAAACGAAAGAGCTACACCGTCTTGAAATACACTCCGAGGGGAAGAACGCGTCTCGTGCTAGGGGAGAATTTGTGAATTAAACAAAGCACAAGATTAATCCGCAAACATGTTGTCATCAATCACCAAAACTACATTGAGAGAGATATGCCGTAACAAATTGGATGCGGTAATTCCTATGAGATTTGATGGTCTAAAAATTTGGTATTCTGATTACTAATGTGATAATTTAGAGTCAAGCACGTACGTAATTTAATATATTTGATTAATATATAGTTGTTGGAAATTTATTTAATATAAGTATTGAAAGTGCAGGTTATCGACCAG